CATTAGTTCTCTTATTTCTGTATTGATCCAAGGAGCGGGAGGACGTCCAAATACACTTGTTTTTAGAGGTGCGTGACGATTGAGGAAATCGAGGAAGTTGGAGGAAAGGCATTCAACCATATCATCGATGGAGGGGAGAGAATAGATGGGTTCTAAGCAAGTGGAAAGGGAATCGAGGAAGGGGATGATGTTTTCAGTGGTTAAGGAATCTAGATCTCCCCAGGAAATTTGTTTGGGTTTAGGTGAAGTAGTAGAGAAGTTGTATGTTATTTCAATAAGATCGTGAGATGAAAGGAAGGGAACTGGAATTTGCGTAGAGGATAATAGGTTATGGGGGGAATCAATAATAAATAAATCTAGCCAAGTATCAGTGGATTGGGTGTGATGGATGGGTTGAAAGGGTACTATAAATAGATCTAAGGAAAAAACTAGGTCGGTAAGATATGTTCTGTCCGGAGTATTTGAAAGAAGGTTGGTGTTGAGATCACCAGCAATAATAATATTTTCGTAGAGAGAAATATATGTAAGGAGGGGAGATTCGAGAGTGGGATCGAATCGGACACGAGGATGTCGGTAAATAACGATAAAGAGTAAAGGAAAGGTACTAAAGGAAACTTGGACAAACAGATATTCTATGTTAGGGACGTCTGAAGGAGGATATTTTAGAAGGATTTTGGCAGTCAAACTGTCATGTACGAACAACCCCACACCTCCACCTGTTCGTTCCATTCGATCACGACGGAAGAGGGTATAGTTGGGTAAGGAAACGGATTGGGAGGGAATATCAGGTTTGAGCCAAGTTACAGAAACGGCTATGGTATGATGGAAGTTATGGTGAAAATAATCGAGGAATTCGTCATAATCTGCTAGAAGGGATTGGGAGTTAACGTGACAGGATATTAAGGTATTGGTCATGAAGAGGTCAGGGTAAGGATAATCTGCGGAGTGTGATAAAATGGTGTTAATATTGATGGAGTAGGCAATTTAAGTTTATTTTTAAACTTACATAATGAGATATAATAACAAATTATGTACATAATATTGATATAGATCTTACTTGAAATCTTTAAATGAAGGTAAGCATAGAAAAAATTAAAAGTTCCGATAAACATGACAAATATTCTGTTATATCAGCCAGTTTCTCTCAAATCGACACTTTAGGGTTAGCATAGTGTGCAAACTATCCGAACAACACGAACAGATCAGCGAAGTCCCTCAGGACTGTGTCCTTAGTCCAACTCTATTCTGCTTAAAAATAAACAACTTGGGGCTCAACCTGCCAAGAGGTGTTGAACCACTATTATTTGTTGACGATTTAGCCATTATCTGTCGTTCTGAAAATATTGCCACCATAAAATAGAAACTACAGGATGCAATAAATATAATCAATAACAGCTCCCTATCAATTGGTCTTCAATTTTCCGCCGAAAAAAACTAAATGCCTCTATTTCAGTAGGAAGAGAAACACCACCCCTCTTCTGAACTCTATCTAGGCAATGCCTTGATTCCATATACGGACAAAAATGTTTTTTGGTATGACATTCGACCGAAGATTGACCTGGGAGTCGCACGTTTCAACATTGAAATCTATCTCCACAAAAATATTAAATACACTAACATATCTTAGCGGCACCTCCTGGGGCTCTGATAGATCCACCCTATTAAAAATTTATCGGGTTTTATATATTTATATACCTTTATATGTTCAAAACTGGATTATGGCCGTCTACGATTCGGCTAGTTACCGTGTATTAAGTAGACTAGATGCTGTGCATCATACCGGTATTCGAATTGCGACTGGTGCGTTTAGAACCAGCCCTGTTCTCAATTTGTGTTCTGAAGCAGGAGTGGCCACTCATTTATTTAGAAGGAAAAAACTAGCAGTTAATTACATATCTAAAATTCTCCTTCAACCGGACCACCCTACACATAGATACATATTCAAACCAATGTTTTCCAAAGCTTTTGAAAAAAAAAACCTCGAAATCAACGCTTCAGAGGAAATAAGTTCAGCTTCTACATTCCTCAGAGGAATTCCTCAAATCAAGCATGAAATTCACAACCTTCCTTGGATTACCAAACCACCTTAAATAATCCTAAACTTAACTCGGTTACACAAAACTAAAACTTCACACATCAACCAAATTCTCACACATCCTTCAAAAATATCAGAACGATATTTAATCTATACTGATACATCGAATCGCCTTATCTGCAGAGAAGAAGTCTTAACCAGAGTAAGAATAGGCCACACCAATCTTACTCATTAGCAAGCAGCCACCACCACAGTGTCAACACTGGAATAATACAGTTACAGTCAGCCACAAGTTACAGGAATGTTATTTTTACATATCAAATCTAAATAGTTTAGGATTTACGCCTCCAATATCAAACATTAAGTGATGGCGAAAACACTATAAAGTTATCGTTAGATTTCTTAAAATCAAACAATTTGTTAAATAAAATTTAAAATTGTTTAAAAATTTAATCGAAAGATCAACAAGATTAATTTGAAGGCGTTGATGACCTGGATTTTTTACGCCTTTGAAACCCAAACAAACAGAAGGGAGGTGTATCATTTTGACTGTGAGGTAAAATTATCCAGTTTTTTTAATTCATTAAATAATCATAGTTGAATATTTTAATTTTATTGAGTTTGTACATATTTAAAATGAGATTATAAATAAATCTGTTGAAGAGTTTCTAGTTTTATTTGTTTAATATAACCATTGAAGTATTTTTTCTGTTTTTCTACTGTGTGTATCAGTTTTACTGTGAGCCACTGCATATCGCAAATAGATCAATAATTTTAGCAAAACTATATTTAAAGCACTTTTTATTTACTTACACACGAAAAAATTATTATTTACTCGTACATGGGAAAGAGTGGTATAATAGAAAATACAGAAGCGACGTTAACACGTTGAAGGCTAGTGCCAGACTATAAAGCAACAGCTTTCAAACGACTGACCGCAGAGAAACATCCCGTGTGTTCATATGAGGTTTATCTATAATTTAAAATGGTTATTAGATGAAAGCCCTTCAGTTAAATGACATGATCCGTAACTCTTAATCTATTGGTAGTCAGTGTGCTTGTTTGAAGGCAGGGAGGTGTAAAGTAGCTAATGAAATGTCTACATACAAAACGCCACGATACAAGTAGAAAATCCATTAAAAGGCAAATATGATTTTTAATTTTTAATGAACTAGGTTCTTTTCTTGATTTTAGCGTATTAATTAAGAAAATATATAATGCTATTTATAATTTTTTAACAAAAAATAATAACTGACATCCTACATAACATTCTCGTTAATAGGTTGTCCGACGAACGATTCTTCATATTCATGATTTCTACCATCCTCAAATTTCTTTCTGAAAAAGTCTGCCCATTCTTTCAAAATTTAAACTTCTTTAGTGATCAACTGTCCATTATTGCCTTTGATATTTAATATATTTATTATTGGCCTTTTTTCTGTATTGCACTGTGCTACAAAACTTTATTTTATCACCTGCATAACTTTTGTCAAATTAAATTTTAGTACTAAAATAACATTTTAGTAACTACCGATTGATATATCCTCAAAAAACCGAGTCGCTTCCTATTCTAGTATTCTATTATTTTTGCATAATCAGAAATTTCTTGCGATTTCTCGTTTTATCCAGTGGCGTTCTCGTAAAATTTGTACTAATTTAGAAGAATGACATCACCTGTTGGTTCAAACTTTGTAGAATTAATGCCGACCTTAGGGTGGAGGAACCAAAGCAATTGCTTCGGGGCGCCGACCTATATAGGTGCCCGACCGATTAAAGTAAACCCTCAATTACGAGGGACTTAAGCAGGTAGCCACAAAGACATAGACCACATTTATAAGATATGTAAGAAAGGCATTATATAACAGCTCGATGAAGCCTGACTTTGTATTGTTCTTCATATCACAATTTGTGAGTTAAGAGATAAAGTAGAGAAGATTTTAAAATAAGGTTTTAGGTCTTTTGTCCGTTTCTTATAATTAGGTAATATAAATTAATTTATAGGTAGATAAAATTATTTATTCATTTATTCTTAAGTAACATCGTTCAGAAAATATTATTATTTTTGGGGATTTTCACATGAAATTGGCAAAACTCTACCGCCAAGCGTCTCATTCAATTCAGAAACTAAAAATACTATAACAATCAATACCTACCTAGCCTTAATTTGGGTAAATTATTTTGCAAATATTCTATCTTCCATTCCGACTCCTCCTCCCATCCCAATGAAAAATTTTAACCGAACTCTGTAGATCTCGATTTCTACTACCAAAGATTCTAAGATCTAGTTTTGACCAAAGTTTCATAAATGTAAAAATTTTGTTTGACTGATCATACCAACCAATATTCTCTTCAATTATTCACTACAGTCAACCATCAATCCACAATTATAAATTTTATCATTCATTTTGTGTATTTCTTCTATACGAAACAAGACTATAGTCCTCTAGAGGAAAGACCGACCCAGAGAGGAATAAATTTTAATTCACACCTCCCTGGACCGATCCGAACAGCTTCTCTCGCCGAATCAGATCGCTCCTGAACTACAATTCCTTAAATTCCACAAATCAACAGTTTGTTCGTACCTCTTTGGGTCAATAACTGATACTTAACGACTAAATTTAATTTGTATCTTCTGTTTTGGCTTTATCGTTACATTTTAGTGTTACTCCATGAATAATTTATGAGTCTTTAAACATTTTGTTCCTAAGTATTTTCAATTAAGACTAAAATCCATTAAGGATAATACGCTATTTGTATTTTATTCTTATTAAATAACTGCTTATCTCCAATTTATTTCACATTATAAATGTATTTTAATTTAAAAATATCGCTAATAAATATACTGTTTGTATTAATCAGGTGAGTTTAATTAACATGCTTGAAGAACTCAAAATGCATGTGGAACTAGATTTCACTTAGTGAAAGTTACTGGAGTGATGTCTCAGTGGTGAACTGGACATACAAAATGAACAGCATATTTACGATATTATTGAAAAAAATTGTATTCTTTCTCCAGTATATTGTTTATGAAATCAAATATTACCTAATTGGAGGACAGGCAATAATTGATGATTTATTACATGGAAAATATAATATTTGTGGTAAGTGAAATATCAGTTTATTGTTATTCAAATACATGAAGAAAAAATCTGATATATTATGTCTTAAAGTAATGTTTTGATAATTTCAAAAAATAATCTTCAATTTCCATCATTATTTTTTTAGATTAATCTCACCCCAAAATATGCATATAAAATTGTGGCAAAACTTCTTATTGAGGTTTTCTCATTTTGTATATTCTTGTTTGTTTATTTATCATTCATTAATGCAATATTGTTTGAAGAAATTAGTTGTATTTATAATTAGGTAATTGCATATATATTTTTAAATGGCATTATGCGATACATTGTATTTCAGAAATTGAAGACAGGAGTGGAAAAATTGCTGTTGTTACTGGAGGAGCAAGAGGAATTGGTTCTGTATTAGTAAAAAAACTTTTGCAATGTAATATGCATGTTATTATTTGTAAGTAACTCGTCAATCTTGTTTCAATTGACTATGTGGTGTTTTGAAATTTAGAATATAAGTAATATGATTTTTTGCAACTACTTTAACAAGTGTTGCTCTACTTTGATGGATCGGCACAAGATCTCATAATTACACCATGATTGAATTCACAGAATAGCCAAATATTGATAAAGGATTCATGGGTATAACAAATTATTTATTTACAAATTTGTTAATTATTAATTATTTTCGTAACATGATTACTCTGGAAGAAAAATAAGAAAAATATATAAAATGATGTTTGAATGTTCCTTCAAAGATGTTGAAAAAACAAATTGTTTTGGGAATAAAATGTAGTAGCTGTATATACGTTGTAATTAACAGAATGTATATATTGTGATTGTTTTTAAGTATTTAGCTTACTGGTATTGGTGGAAGGAATTATTCCGGCAAGTGGGCCATGTAGTCCAATCTAAATTTTTCCAATCCCTCACGGCCACATACTTATCAGAGTAAGAATGTCAAGATTCATTTCCCAAGGGCTCCGAGAAATGAAAATTAGCCGACCCAGGTGGGAATTGAACCCACAACATTCAGAATCAGACACTCAGGGACCCACACCCCAATGTTCTCTGCCATCCTTTTCATAAATATTTAGCTTAGATCACTCACATGAACAAATATGGGCCAATGAAGCAAACATTTAAACAAACACAACACTGTTAAATGAACTAAAGTTTAAAATTAAATAAAAGGTGGGGTCAATTGGTGCCAGTATAAGACAGCCTTAAAGAAAGAAAAAACAATTTTTATTTGCTTGTTCCACTAATATTACTGTCTATTAGTAATAAGATATAATATTTTCAATCTCTAACCCTTATTATTTTTAAATGTCATTATGGCAACGTACCAGACATCCAGCCGACCGCCACTCCTACAATTATCACTGTAAAAAATTAAAACAAGAATTAGCCACCTTCAGATCCCAATCATTCAATTCCTACCTCACCACACTCTCTGCTCATGATAATTCCCTTTGGAATATCACCAGAAAAATCCTCAAATCCCATCATATTTCCCACCCTCTTCGACGAGGTGATGGCTCCTGGGCAGCATCTGATGAAGATAAAGCCGAGGAGTTTGCCAAACACCTTTCCTATACTTTCGCTCCTCATCCGGAATCTCATCCTACCCACACAGTAAAAGTAGAAGAATTCCTTTCTTCACCTATCCCACTCTCCTTACCACCTAAAGCAGTTAATCCCTCTGAGGTCAAATACCTATTACGCAAAATCACTCCTCGTAAATCTCCTGGATACGACCTTCTAACCCCGCAGATCCTACGACAACTACCATCCAAAGCCATCATATTTCTAATCTATATATACAATTGTATCCTCCGAACTACCCACTTCCCTCTCCTATGGAAACATTCCACCATCATCCTTTTCCTGAAACCAGGCAAGCCTCCCAATAATACATCATCGTATAGACCAATTAGCCTACTCCCAATTCTTTCAAAAATTTTTGAAAAGATCCTCCTGAAAAGAATCCTACCCATAATAGACTCCCGTAAAATCCCTACCCATCAATTCGGATTCCGTTCCCAACATTCTACCGTCCAACAAGGACTCCGAGTTGTTGACCACATATCCTCAGCCCTTGAAAACAAGCAGTTTTGCTCGAGTGCATTTTTGGACATAGCGCAAGCTTTTGACCGGGTGTGGCATGCCGGACTGCTCTTCAAGCTCAAATCCCATCTACCACAGTCCTTATACCTAATACTCCAATCCTACCTCTCCGACCGCTCCTTTCGTGTTCGCTGTGGTACAGAATTTTCCGACTGTTATTCAATTGAGGCTGGAGTTCCTCAAGGCAGCGTCTTGGGTCCCATCCTTTCCATCATCTATACCGCTGACATTCCCGTCCATCCCGATACACTCCTGGCAACTTTCGCTGATGACACTGCGATCCTATCTTCTAACTCAGATCCTGTAATAGCATCCAGAAACCTGCAACGGCACCTATCCTTGATTGAACACTGGTGCAAGAAATGGCGCATCAAAGTCAATGAATCCAAATGTAAACATATAACTTTCACCCTTTGTCGTAATTCCTGTCCACCAGTTTACCTTAATACCATCCAGCTTCCCTTCTGCGACACAGTCCGGTACCTTGGTTTTCTCCTAGACAGACGACTAACGTGGAATCCGCATACTAGACTGAAAAGACAGGGACTTAACCGACGTTATGGCCAGCTATATAGACTACTTAATAGAAAATCTAAACTTTCTATTGAAAACAAACTACTCTAAATAAATCTACAAGACAATATTAAAACCCATGTGGACCTACGGACTAGAACTGTGGGGGACAACCAAATTTTCTAACATCAAACGCATTCAATCCTTCCAGTCCAAAGTCCTCCGTACAATAGTCGATGCTCCCTTCTATGTCTCTAATAAAACCCTGCACAATGACCTTAATATTCCATTTATTCTTGATCTTATCCCAGACAAATTCTCCAAATTTCATCAGAACCTTACCCATCACCCTAATCCCGTAGCACAATCCCTATCTAGCACCACTCATCCCTACAATCCTCCTCGCAGGCTGAAACGGCAGTGGCCCTGTGACCTTTTGTAACATGTATATACTGGAGTTCTGGCAATGGCCAGATTCTCCACTCAAGTCATGAGTGTCCGTGGTTGTAGCGCCCTTACTCAATCTCCGCTGGCTTTCAATGCCAGTGAAATGGTTGAGCAGGAAGCGCAGGGATCTTCTGAAGCCTTGCTTTCCCTCCACATGTGGGGGGATGAGTATGGTTCGGAGTTCCGATGGCCGACTGTAAATAGTGTAATAGGTATGCCTGCGTCTAAAATGTTTATTTTCATTACTTTTTTTTTTTTTTTTCCTCACTATGATATTTTATTTTGTTCTTTTGTAGCTTTATATTATTTGAAGTTAGCTTATTTTTTTTAAATTTGTAAATATGGTGTGAATGTGCTCTCAGAACTCTATTATAAATGTCCTTTATTGAGACAGATTGTAATATTTATCAATAAAAAAAAAAAAAATGTCATTATAATTTCATAAATTGAATCAGAGTATTTGGTTAAATCTTTATCAGTTATTTTTAATATAATCCTTAAAATTAATGGAAAAATATATAGTTTTTTCATCGGAGGATATGAGAAAGTATCAATGGTGTTTAAAATATCATTGTCGTGGTGTATTATAATAGAAATAAAATTAATGTTTATTATTCCATAAGAACTATTCTAATTTTGATGTATAATTAGCTCATAAAAACATTAGGGTACTAAATATCAAATAAATCCGACATAATTTACAAATTCTAGGCCCATTTCCACGAAAATCTGTCTTTTGTCCCACTGTGGGGTGGACGAGGTGGAAGGGTCGAGTATGCAAGATTTGCACAACAAAGATGTACGCTGAAAATTCCAGCCTTCTAGTTCCCAAGAGGCAAGTGCATCTTTCATCTTCGGTGTGAAAGATCTCTTTCTATTACACAGTCTAGTATTCAGGATGCATGCATCTTTGGTGTGAAAGGAGCCTAGGAATGATAGGGAGGGTCTGGCCCACTTTGTTAATTATCCATTCATGAATGTGCATAAACTCTGCAATTTTTTTAACTAACATGTCAAGCTACTCTCTTTCAGGCTCGAAAAAAGGTAATTAGTTACTGAAGTTTACAAATAGTTTTTGTTTTTTATTCAACAAATTTATAAGTAACTACTTAGAACTGTAAAAACTAAAATAAATAGATATAATTAAACGAGTATCTACAACAGACTACTTGAAACCTAGATTGATTGTTAATTGTATATTATGTCAAAAAGATCATTTCATTGAAAAGTCTAAAATATTTTAAATATTCCTTTATGTTTTAGTGTGACCATGTTTTTTATGCTAATGATATATTCATTATATTTTGTTCAAATTAAATATATTTTATGTACACCTCTCCACACTGAATGAGTACTCTTCTGTTATCCATGATTATTTTACACATATATAATTTCATTGTTTCTTTTGAATGTTCTTTTCTTCTATTTTACATCTAGGATTTGAAAAGAATATTAGTTAATGTATAAAACAGAAATCAGTTTTGACATAATTTAAGAAATTCCAATTTTCTTTGATCGTATACCATAGAAATTCAAGCTACATATTTCAGGTTGCCGAGATGTAAATAGGGGATCTCAACTGATAGAGAAATATCGAAAAAATGGAATTAAAACTGGATTTGCTTATATTTATCATTTGGATTTGACATCTTTAAAGTCTGTAAGAGACTGTGCTAAAAAAATCTCCCAAGATTTTATACAATTAAATATTTTAGTCAACAATGGTAAGTATTATTCATCATTAATTTAATAAACTTTGTAATGTTAAAAAAAAACTGATAAGACTTGTTTTTTTACACAATCTTTTTATTCATCATTACATATATTCGTGTAAGTAGCTTGTATAGGTTTTACAAATCTTGTTGATCTTTGGCCCCCTGCTACAGCCTCCTCCTGTCTTGGACTACTGCTTTTAAGGTTTTTTGTTCGTGAAGCTCTACAGTATTTTTGTTGATTCTATCTATCTGTTATTTAAGATTAAAATATGATTCCAATATTTTTTTTGTAAATTCAAGGATTTTTTCGATATAAGGGTCCACTATTATGTTGCCATGAGCGCTTTTTATGATAATACTGTCAGATTTAAGATTTCTTAATTGCGCATCAAGTTTCTGATACTTATCGGATTTCGTCGATATATATGAGTCCACTAATATGTTATCGGGGACACTCTTTATGGAAATGCTCATGGATTTAAGATTGAGCAATTGCACATGGTGCTTTTGATACCTTTAAGATTTCTTCAATATAAGGGTTGTTGACGCCACAACATTAATTTATTTTATTTTATTATTTTAAAAATTTATTTAATTGATGATTCTGTTTATTTATTTAAGTTTAAATATTAAGCAAAAATGAAATCAACATAGTTTAATTATGTTTTTATATACAGTATACACTAGTTCATAGGTTATGGATTGTAACACTAGCTACATAAGCAAGTCCTAGGTTCAAGTCCTGAGCCTATGGGCTTCGCCAATACACAGTCTGACTCTGTCCGTTACTGAGCTCAGTGCTGCCCAAACTTGATACTGCCCATTGCAGTTCTAGCGGAAGGAGATGCATTCTTCTGTCAAGTGTACCCAATTGCAGTCTTCAAATTCTTTATGAGCGCTCATAGATCTACATCAAATCACTGTGGGAGGAATGGAGTGCCAGCAGGTCATCTCCTACGACCGTTACCTGCGTGCATTCACCACGTAACGTACAACTTTGCTTTTTTTTTTATATATAGAATTGTAAAACAATCAGCTGTGTAAGGATTATTTTTGTTTGTTTTTTCTTTTCTCTATTAATGAGTGGAAATTATAGTAACATAATTTGAAGAGGGGCTTATTGAATCGACAGTGACCAGTATACTATATACACTCCTGTCACACACTTAATAGTGCCCCTGTCCATTAAGAGAAGTGATACACTTCTCTTGTAACAGGGTCCTATAAGAACAACCTAGATTGAGTTTGTTTCCTAGTTTGTTCCCAATGGAGCTTAATTTTATTGCCAACAACTGCCTTAATTTGCCTTTTGGCAGAGCTGAGGCTAATCCCACAGATCGGCTCTGGTGTTACCGGCACTTGAGTAGAGGCAAGGCAATCAGTTTTCTCATTGTCTGGATTACCTGAGTGCCCAGGCATCCATTCAACCCTCACTTTGTTGGTACTACAGAGAAAGTTCTGATTGCCTTTACACTCATCTACCAATCTGAGTGGGTTGCATAACTATTCAGGGCACCAATTTGTAAATAACCTTATAAAGTTTAAATGTAAAAAATTTGTTTTGGTGGGAATTGGCAAATAGCCTTCCGCTTTTATATCGAGGAACTAGATTATTTACACTCGTAAATATTAAAACAAAATCCCGGCACTGGATATAGACTTTTTGAGGGTGTTTAACTGTCGTTGGAAATCTAATACCTTTTGTGACACTGAGTGACGTATGGATGATTCGGCGATACCCAGAAAAATGCTTTCCGGAAAGATGCATGGGCAAAGAAAAGTTGGCAGGCCAAATGCAAGATGGGAGGACTCAGTGACATCAGACTCACGGGCTCTACTGGGAGTCCGAAACTGGAAAGCTACTGCAGCTGATCGTATCGACTGGCGTAAGCTTTTGGAGGAGACCCAGTCTCGGTGACGGGATGTAGCGCCATATATGTATGTGTGAGTGACAAGAAACAATAAGAATATATATATATATATATATAATGTGGGACTTAGTAAATACACTTGCATGCCTGGTTTATTATTCTTCAATCGTGAGGCATATAGGACAACTAAATAAATAAATGACTTTTCACTCCTGTCTTACAAAACAATTTATTTTACAACTGTTAATAAATGAATTTATTAAAGTCTTATAACTGTAGGTTTGATATTCTTGGTCTTCAATGTTCTGCCTCTCTCATCTCAGGTAACGTCTTCTCGCCTCCGTGTCTCTGCCTCTAGTCACCTCTCTCCCTTGGTGTCCTCCTGCAGCTGTTGCTAGCTACCTGCTCTGTCCTTTTTCCAGCGTCCTTGTTCATCGATTGTTTATCGATATGAGACTTTTCCATGAATAATTTGTCCACTGCATAATTGAGTACAATTCATCGTGCAACCTCACATTCCTATATATTCCTTCTCATTCCCTCACACAATGTCACATAAAGGAGTTTACTCTTTCTATAGGGGGATGTCTACTACAAATTCCCTCCCTTATTAGTGAATGAGCTAATTCGATAGCTCGAATCTCTTCTAGCTACTGTAAGACGGACGTATGTCTGTGTACTTAGAGATATGAATATTTCCTCATTATGTTTATCTTTTCTTCAGATGCCAGCTCATGATCCTTGCTCCATCAAGGATTCGTCGGTATAAGAGTTAACTGCATTACACAGCTTTCTTTGATATATGGGTCTATTCATATGTTATCGGAGCCGTATATTTTGAAAATAATCTCCATTTTAAGACTACGCCACTGCGTTTTGACTTATTTGAGTTTCTCGAATCTATTCGATCTAAGGGTCTATTTATATGTTTTCAGAGCCGTAGATTTTGAAAATGATCTCCATTTTAAGATTACGCCACTGCGTTTTGACTTATTTGAGTTTTTCGGATTTCTATGAGATAAGGGTCTATTTTTATGTTTTCGGAGCCACAGTTTTTGAAACTGAAACTCCTCTCTAAGATTATGCCACTGTGTTTCAACTTATTTGAGTTGTTCTGATTTTTTTTTTATATATATAGCATTTCTAAGTCAATTTCAACCTTTTCCAAGTCTAATTAAACCTTTTCCATTTCAAATTCAACCTTTTCCAAATCTAATTCAACCTTTTCCATTTGAAATTCAACTTTCGAATTTTTGTAAATTCGCGATTTTTTTCTAAAAGAAGGCCACCTGCTATATTATTGAAAGGCATAGCTTTAGAAATATACAAAAAAAAAAAAAAATTGTGATAATGCGGTTGCATATTCATTTATTTTTACTTTTTAGATTTTTTCGGTATAATATTTTCATGTCATATTCAGATTTTTCCAAGTCAAATTCAAACTTTTCCAAATCAAATTAAACTTTTTCCAAGTCAAATTCAACCTTTTCCATTTCAAATTAAACCTTTTCCAATTCAAATTAAAGTTTCGATTTCTGAATTTTTTTTTCGAAATAAGGGCCATTTTCCAATATGAGGGTCTATTATTATGCTCCCCTAAGTAGAGTTTTTCAAAATACTATCGATTTTAAGTTAAACTTTCGCATATCGATTTATTGTACCTTTTCGGATTTATTCGACATAAGGCTTTGTATTATGTTATCGTATGCCTAGTTTTTGAAAATAAACTCCACTTTAAGATTACACCACTGCCTTTGGACTTATTTAAGTTTTACGAAATTATTCGATATAAGGGTATATTCTTAGGTTTCCAGAGCCGTAAATTTTGAAAATGATCTCCATTCTAATATTACACCACTGCGTTTCGACTTATTTAAGTTTTACTAATTTATTCGATATAATAATAATAATAATGCTTTATTTATTCTGGGACTAGTTCCTTTAGAATAATACAGAGAGACAAGAATGTGGGCTAAGGAGCCTCAGAGATACATAAAGAAGAATTTAGTTTAATTAAATAGTAAAAAAAAAAATAGATAAATGAAAAAAAAAATAATAAGAGAAATTATAAGTTACTTTCTAATTTACATCAGTTAATAATAAAAAGTAAAAAATTGTTAATGAACATGAAGTAAAAAAAATAAAGAACGATCTAATAATTTATATAAATATTTACAGTAGTAACTATTTACAATTTTATGATGACTGGATGGATAAGAAATGATTAAACAGTTGGGATTTAAAGGTAGGAAGGGTTTTGGATTGACGGATGTGGGGAGGGATGGAGTTCCATAGGGAAGAGGATCGAATAATAAAAGATTCATCGAAAGCAGCGGTTCGGTGGGCCATTATATATAAGTCTGAAGATTGGGAACGGGTATTGCGGGAGTGTACAGAAGATTTAAATTGAAGGAGCTCGGCGATGTATGAAGGACGGCAGGAGTGAATTACTTGGTATGGTATGGAGTGAATTAAGCGGTAGACTTTGAAAATGACCTCCATTTTAAGATTATGCACACTGCGTTTTGTCTTGTTTACATTTTTCGAATTTTTTCCAAATAAGGGTGTATTGTTATGTTTCTGCAGCCGTAGATTTTGAAAATGACCTTCATTTTGATTACGCCACTGCGTTTTGACTTACTCAATTTTTTCGAATCTATTCGATCTAAGAGTCCAGTTATATGTTATCAGAGACGTAGTATGGGAAATTTATCTAATCTCTAATATTTAATCTCCATTTCAAGATTTCACAGTTACATCTCGATTAATTAAGCTTTTTTGGATTTTGGATTTTTTTAACAAAAAGTTTCATCCATATGTTTTCTAGTACGAATAAATTTATATTATGAAGCTAAGGTTAAATTAACCACAAAACACAAAGTAAAAAGCCGAAAAAGCAACTGGTAATAAATTTACCATTTTCAGATTTTTCAGCTAATTATTCTAAATTCGTATCTAATAATTTTGGAAGAGGATACTGAAATATTAAAAAAGAAAATTAAATTTAAAAATGAGAGAATAAATATTTTATTTATTTTGGCTGAAAAATAAACTAATCTTTCGTCTTTTTTTTAAATCGACGTAATCTTAAAATGGAGATCATTTTCAAAAACTATGTCTCCGATAACATATAAGTAG